AGATTAAATATTGATAAATTACAAGAGTTGGCCTTATTTACAACCTTGTCACTTAGTGAGTCATATCATATTTTGAGACTTCGAATCAACACTTCTTCAGCCATTTGCTTGCACCAAACCGACTAGAGAGAGAGAGCTAGGAGAAAAACTTGGTTTGATCTTGATTGCTTGGAGGCTTAGGGATTTTGGAAGATAATTGGCAAATTGAGCTTCTAGACTTGTAATTGAGAACTCAAGGTAGGATATTCAATCTCTCATTAATGTATTCAAGTTAGTTCTTGCATGGTTCTTGATTTATGGATGAATTGAGTAAGATTTCATGCATGCATGGTCCTATTGTTGAGTTTTGAGTTGTTTTCATGGAAATTGCTACATGCATGTTTATATTTTTTGTCTTGATCCATGGATTCACCATATTTTTGTAAGAATTGGCTCTTTGGAGCATGTTTTAGAAGCTTTGAATTCATTAGAACTCATGCATGTATGAGTTTTGCATCAATCTTCACGTTATTGGATTTTGGGTTGGAATTGTGTTTTAATTGAACTAGCTTTGGGCTTTGATTCCTCAAATTAATCTTCAAAACATGTTATACTATGAGTTTACAAGTGTTTTCCAGAAAATTAGCCCAAAAGGATCGAATTTGACGCATTGGAATTGAGTTTTGAGCTTCAGGTTCAAATTTAGAAATTCCAGATTTTCGACTCACGCTCGAGCGATGAGTTCCACGCTCGAGCGTAAGCCTTACGTTCATGCATTCTGCTCGAGCGAGGAAAGTGGCGCTCAAGCGTGAAATGCGTGTATCCAGCACTTTTGTTGTGTTTACAGTCCGCTCGAGCGAGAGAGTTCACGCTAGAGCGAGGACTTGTGTCTCACGCTCGAGCGTGTATCGAGCGCCTGTCGAGCGTGATTTTTGTGCATCCAGTATTTTTACTGTAGCTTACAATCCGCTTGAGCGACGTAAGTCATGCTTGAGCGGAGATCTTTTGTCTGCATGTCCGCTCGAGCGTAGAAAGCCACGCTCGAGCGAGACGGAATGCACGCTCGAGCGAGGACTTGTGTCTCACGCTCGAGCGTGTATCGAGCGCCTGTCGAGCATGATTTTTGTGCATCCAGTATTTTTACTGTAGCTTACAGTCCGCTTGAGCGACGTAAGTCACGCTCGAGCGAAGATCTTTTGTCTGCATGTCCGCTCGAGCGTAGAAAGCCACGCTCGAGCGAGACCCCTGTTTTCTGAAAATTCTGAAAGTGTTTTAAAGTGCATCTTTACATCCTCATTCCATCCTAGGCATTCCTAGGCCTAGTTTAAGGCATCTTAATGAGGATACTGATGTAGAACCACACCGAGTCAAGATAGGGATTGAGTTATTATTTCCCAACTGTGTAGCTTAGTGTGTGTTCACTCTGTAACTGTTCTGTAACTGTGTAGGGTTGGCATCTGAGGACGCGTACTAGCTTATCTGTAGCCCAGAACTCTGTGAGTAACAATGTTGTAAAGATATGTTCAATTGAGATTATTTTCTGAACAAATGACTGTACTGCTTTATGAAATGACACTGTTTACTGAATGAATGTTTATTTTATTTGTGAACTATATACGTGGCATCCATAGCAATATATTGTTACTGAACTGTTACTATTACTGTTACAGAGATCTCTGTCGGTTCCCATGTTTAGAACCACTACTGTTTACTGACATGATGGCCATCATTGACTGTTCGGTCTGTTAAGACCTACTGTACTGTTTTGCTATTGGGTGTACCACATATGACTATTATCGTTTTTGAATTACTGTATGGCATGAATTATGAGCCACAAACTGAATGACTGATATACTGATAAATGATTGTTTTCAATACTGAAGGGACATTCATTCTTAACCTCCTTACGCATATGTTATCACTGAGTTTTTGCTCACTGCTCATATATATATGTAGGTGTTCAGGCACCGGACCGTTGCTAGGAGCGTCGGGCTAAACTCCCTTTTTTGTCAAGCCAACCAACGTGCCTCACTGCGAGGTTCCAAGTCCTTCAAGTTAGGGTTTTTTGGGGTGTTTTAGTTTTCCCCCTCTTTTTTTATGTTCTGTATAGATTGAATGATGTTGTACTGTACTATTCTAATAGGGAATAAGCCCCTGTCCTGAATGATTGTATGTATTGTACATACTATTTTGGTACTGATTGTATATGTGTTTTGAAAAGTCTTTTTGCATACAGACCGTCACAGCTCATTGGATATCTTTTAATTACTATTTTGGCTTCCGCCAACCCCTGTACTCTGTATTACTGTTAAGCAGGCCTTCGGTAATCTCGAATTACTGGCCGGTTGCGGTGCTAAACCCATAGGGGCGGGTTTAGGTCGTAACAATTTTGGCCCAAGACAATATCATTTTGGAGCACTGCAGGAACAATGGCGTGAAACCATAGCAGATGATCCTGACTCATGGGTGGTTACCTAGGGTAAAAAATCACCAAAAAATGTAGGAAGGGGGTTGGTAATGGAAAGAGATCAATAAAATCATAAAGACTAGCCAAGAATGAATTAACTAAGCTTATAGGTTAGCGGCGATATGAAAGAGAGAATGCTGGATAACAAATAGGAATTCAACACGAGTTCAAAAAAAAATAAGAATTCAACAACTATACACAAATACAGCAAGTGGCTAGTTTTAAGTGGAAGATCATCGGCCACGTGGCACGCTATCATAGACTGCCAGCAACGAAAGTAAGACCGAATTACTGCAAGCATCAGCAACTATAAATACCAAGGAGAGGGGCATGACAAAGAGTCCAGCACCAATCAAACAAATTTAATATTTAATTTTAAAAATAATTACTTTTTAAGGAGACATGTAATCATTATATTTAAATTTAAATTTTCAAAATACTCTTCTATTCTTATTTTAAAATATATAAAAAATAAAAAATAAATTTAAAGTATATATTATTTACAAGGAGCAATTTTGAAAAAAATTTAAATCTTAAGTTTTGATTTTTAAAATGACTTACATTTTGAGACAACAAAAAATAAAATAATAGACAAATAAAATAAGTTACTTCCATTCATCAATGGAATAGTTTATTAGTTTACTTCATTTACTAACACCTTTATCTTTTAATTCTAGTTTATTCATGACCTTTATGGCCCAATGCCTTTATCAAAATATGTAATATTTACTTTTTCTAAAATAGTAAAGTTTACTTGTTTTTTCATATTATGAAATTCTCTTCGTTGAGTTAAAAAAGAACTAGTAGTTGTCCGATCAACCTGCACACAGTTGGTTTGATAGAAGTCAAATTTGAGCGCATCACTCTCAACTACACTTTGGCCTAGGTCACAAGTCTTGGCACCCCTGTGCATTAATCAATCATCATTCACTCACACATTCGGTGCCAAAATACGTGTTTTTCTTTTCCTAAAGAAGGGGAAACAACAGTTCAATTTGATTTTCTCAAATGTACAATTTGCTCTTGATTATTAAAATAGATGATCCGTATTTTACGATTCGGTTGTGGTTTTATAGTCAGTTTGAAACCAAATTTAACATTCAAAAATCTTATCAATATCAAATATATATAAACATAATTTGTAACCCTTTACTTTTACAATTGTGTTCTTGTATAGTAATAAAAAAAAGTTCTAAATAATCATCTAAACAATTATGTGATTGTAAATAATATTTTCTGATCATATTGTGAATGATAACAAGATTTATGAAAACCGTAGTTTCAAGCCGAACTAAACTACATTTTAATGGTTCGATCTAGTTTGGTTCCAAATTTTTCTTAATTTGGTTCTAAACTTCATTGAATCATAAGTAACCGTTCGATTCTTAATTTACTCCCAAATCAATCCAAACTACGTTCACTCATAATAATGACATGATATGATTGTTGTATTAAATATATATATACATATAAATATATATATTTCACCTGCATTGGTATCTGCTTCTAGCAAAGTATAGGCAATCATCTTATTAAAAAAAAATAGAATTAAAGTAATCTTAGTGTAATCCCATTGATGCTATAGGTCAGATTTCCTAGATATTTTTTTTTCCCAAAATGAGTTCAGTATTGTCTACTTGTGAAATTTTAGAAAAGAGAGAGATTTAGTGTGTTTTTTTTTTTACACCTTTTAATTATTATTTTTTTCCTTTTACATTTTAAATGGATTTACAGAATAATTTTTTTTAATTATAATAAAAATACAAAAAAAAAATGGCAAAAAAGTCAACTAAAGAGCCAAAGGGATGTTCTCAAAAAAAAAAAAAAAAAAAAAAAAAAAAAAAAACAAGAGCCAGAGGTATAGTGAAGTGGGAATATCGTACGCTTGTAAAGTGTTAAGAAAAATGCTTGGGAGCACTAAAAAATGATCACTAGAGGGAGCACTAATGATGTGGCAGTGGGCCCCGCCCACTTTCTATGCCTTGCTTTTATTTGAAAAATGCTTGGGAGCACTAATTAGTGCTCCCACTAATTAGGTGGCAGTGGATCCCGCCATTAATGATGGGATGTTTTGGTCTTGGAGTTGTGTTTTTTTTTTTTTTTTTTTTTACTTTTTTAATACATTAGTGCTATTAGTGGTGATATTTTTAGTGGGATGAATCATTGTTGCTTTTATTTATTTATTTATTTTTTGCCATTCCTAATGTATTAGTGCTATTAGTGATGTATTTTTTAGTGGTCTAAATCATTGTTGAAAGTGTAAAATGGGTCATCAAATTAGCAAAGCTATAGTACTATGGTGCAGCAAAGACCTTGTCCTCTAAATCAAGCTGATTTTTTTATTTATTTTATTCAGGCAAGTAAAATGAAATGATAAAATAGGATCCAATGGGAATTTAAGTCCAAATCTTTCCTTGCTAGATGGCAGGGTCATATTAAGCATGATGATGCTTGTGTTGTGCACTTGTAGAACAGAAAACACATCATTTAAGTTGTATTTGCAAGATCAGACCATGAAATTATTCTATTATTATTTCTTTTGAAAAGAGGGAGCTTCTTCTAGTGAAGGTGTATTACCTTAAATTGCCAAGCCAAGAGAGTGAAAAGTTTTCAAATGCAATAAATAAAAAAGTTTACAAAAATCTCTATTGTATTGAATGAAACTTCCACTGTTACTGTATACCTATTCACTCAAAAGAATAGGAGAGTTTCCCTACTAATGAAGTTCTATGATTAATTAAATAAGCTCAATGCAGATCTCGGGTGCAGTAAGGCTCTATGGAGTCGGGACAAGTTCACACTGTCTGTGTCTGGGGAGTGGATGCAGAGGGCAAAGTAGACAACCAATCTAGTAAAGCCTTATTGGCAAGCTCTGGAACTTCATCGTGTGGGCAATGCCCGGCCTGTAGGTTAACAATTGTTGTGTTTGGATAGAACTCTTTGATCCGAATGGCCTTGGCTGGACCCACCCACGGATCTAAGTCACCCCAAAGCAGCAACAGTGGGCAAGTGAGTTTGCTCAAGACACTGTCAAGTGTGTATTTGCTCTGATTCAACATGAATCGTGTCATTAATCTGCAATTAACCAAGATGACATTTATCATCAAACACACACAAAAAGAGAGTAAGTGAATAGATTTGAAGGAATACGTTTCAAGAACATTTCCAGAGGCTGTTTAGTTAAACATAGAAGGGAGCGAAACTGAGATTGTCAATGATCTCAGACAGCAATGTAATTTTTATATGGAACCACTTTCATGTTCAGACTGCCTAAATTCTGAGCTGAAGCAGTTCAGCACAAAGAGTTAGGCTCCGTATGGATGGATGGATTTCAAAAGAAGGGATCTGAGTTTAAATTTTATAAAAATATAGGAGATTAAGCTATTATGGATGGATTCAGAAACTACATAAGGATTTTTTGTTTTTTTTTTGTAAAACAACCCTTACCGTTAAGGATTTCAAATAACTAGTTACTTTTAATCCATCACGACAGAGCTGTCTCAAATTAAACATCTAAACTATCAAATCTAAAATTTGAGTTATTCTCCTCGAATGAATAGTGAAAAATCCTTCCATTTCAAATCCACAAATTTAACACAGCCTTAATTTTTTAATCATTCAAAGGATATCAATAGTAAAAATGATCCCCACAAGAGAGAAGCATGGGGAACCAAAGGAAGATCTGTACTACACTGATCAGCAGATTTCTGATATTTTCATTGTGAAAGAAAGTGAGACCTGGTCAATTGTAGTTTTCTAACTCAATTTCTTATAGCTCCAGGAAGCAAATGGAGGAATTTTTAATTTCAAAGCAGAATGTAAGAACACACCCTTCATGGCTACATCCATACCTGTAATAAACTTCTCCGGCATTGGGGTCTTCAGCTGGCCTGGTTATTGATTCCACAAGATAGTCGTCCACATTGGAGGAATTAACATATACCTGAAATATAAAAGTGAATAAGTTTACCACTCTTGTTTGATATTTAAAGTCACAGATATTTCTAGATAACTGAGGCACAAACTTTGTGCTTTCAGGAAGCTCAACTAAACAGTAAAGCAAAGTTTGATACTGGACAAATTTCCCGCATTTCTGGCATTTGGTTCAACAGAAAACAGAAGTCAATGGAAAAGAAGCTTATTTAGGCGGAAAATGTTTCCCACTAAAGTCTTACCACCAATGCCACTACCCTAAAATAACCATTAGTACATTAGTTTTAAGGATGCAACCAAACATACAAAAACGTTTTCTGTAAAATGTTTTCCAATGAAAAAAATGCATTTTGGCCCAAAAAAACGGAGCACAAGTTATTTGAAACAGGATGGAAGGTGGAAAAAACCATCACGTTTCCTGTGGCACCATGTGGTTTACAGGCAGTATTAAACATTTGCCCTCTACTAGTTCTTATATGGTTAATCTCCTATTAATTGAATGGCCAACTTGAAAAGATAACAGTCTCTGCCTATTTAGGTTCATACAATGCATTCAATCAATGTTACCCAGGGATCTTATTCCTAGGTAAAGTATAACAAAAACTAGACCTAAAAATTGTCCTACTTACCCTTCAGTGATGATTTCTAAGCCACTCAAGTACTAGCTAAACCTTTAAAAAGAATAGGAAAAGAAGCTCAAGTTCAATTGAGGACTTGAACATACGCTCTTCAGGACGGATTCAATGCGGGCAGGTTGCTTGGCTTGCCAGAACAAAAATCCAAGAACTACACGCTGAAAAATTGTCTTCAATGGCTTTAGAATAAACTTCTGTGCGACACTTTCTTCAGATTCATTGGTTTCCGCATTTGGATTTCCAAATTGTCCTGCAGAGTTTAATAATGCAACTCCAGCAACTTGCTCAGGCAACCCTGCTGCTGTCACCAAAGCTGTAAATCCTCCAAGGCTGAAAATTACCAATGAGTTAGTGGCCACAAATTAAATCATCTTTGCATGAAAAGATGAAGATCAATTCATTAGTAATTACTTACCTGTTTCCAACTAAAATTGCTGGTTCTTTCACAATCTCCTTTAAGAAATCCACGACTTGATCTCTCCACACCAAGGCATCATACTCAATAATTGCTTTCTCACTCCAACCAAAGCCTAGCAAGTCTATAGCATAAACCTTGTATTTTTTAGCCAATTCTGGTATGTTGTACCTAAACAAATGGAAAGAGAAAGAACTTCAGAGTAAAGTTTTAGGCAATATGACTTGCATCAAATCCAATTGAATATCATTATTGTTTAGCTTCATTAGGTGATGAGAACATTTACAGTCCAACCAGAAATTATCTAGATTAACAGTTAACAAAATTTAAAGGGTCTATACCTAAAAGAACAAGTTCTACAAGAATCACATTATCCACTGGGGGCTCTAGTCCTTTAAATTGGCAGTAAGAACAGATGTACTCCGATGACATGTGATGAATGATCTATTTTTTATTCCAACAAAAATCAAAATCATAAACATTAGGCTAGAATCCCTTGACATTTTAACCAATAGTGCATGCAAGGAAAAATGAAATTATAAGTCAATGGTAGATCCTGAAAGAGAATTAGAATATGAACATACACACAATAGAGAGAGAGAGAGAGAGAGAGAGAGAGAGAAGGGGAAACCTCCAATGAAATGCAGAAGCACCAAATCCATGAATAAGAAGGATTGGAATCCCTTCTCCTTGTTGTACATAATGTATTTTGTGACCTCTCCATGTCCAAAAATCATAACCCTCTGGCCTGAACGGTAATTTCTCCAAACCTATGAGATGACCATTTCAACCAAGATCCATGTAGTAAGCAACTTATCTTCAGAAACTTGCTCAAAACCAATATATGATAAAGTAGAAATTACAAAATCCAGTATTAACCTGTTTGATACATATAGGTAAGTAACTTCAGCTAGGAAATAAAATGAAAAGATAGTGATTTGCAGCCATGGCATGTTCAAGTATCACACCAGTTTGTAATTCTATTAACAGAATGATTTACCTTGAACAGATGACACATACTACGTACTGCATTACATATTTTAAGGTTTTGTGCATACTCTACAGTCAACATGTAAAATAAAATTGACTTGCGTTAATTTAGTAAGAAATTTTGGGATAGTGGGGATATCCATTTGTTCTCAAATTAAATCAGAGGCTAATGAACCTAATATTTAAGTTAGATAGATACATGCAGAAGACCCTACCTAATTGGGACACGACCCTACCTAACAATTGAGTGGGTTTGTTTTGGTGTTGTTTTGCTTTGGTAATTCTTTTTCATATTTTATTTTCCCGAAGGAAACTATAAACCACAAAGCAAGGAGTAGCCTTTTTCAACTTGGATGAAGGGGGATCCTCAGATTACCAAGAGAGTTTTCCAGCTAAAAGAGTCTGCATCATCCCATTCAGTTGCTACCTAAAACAATACCCAATTGGTACACATTAATGTGTGTTTGGGAGGGGAAAGATTGAATACACACCTAATCTTTGACATAGTGCACAAAGTGATTGCCCCGTGACTTGAACCCATAACCTCAAGGTTATTAGGCCAAGGTTTTACCATTCAATTGCTACCTATTGGAACAAAATTTATAAATTTTAAAAATCCAAAACTTATACTTTTTAATTTAAACAGATGTATTTTAAAAGGTGCGTAATTTTAAAATAAATGGTGTGTTCATTTTAAATTAGATATCTTGTAATACTACATGCATCATATTTGTTTCACACCATTCTCTACATTGTCTTCTTCATATTACATACAAAGTATTATATTATTTTCTATATATTTTGCGCATTTCAAAATAGACTCGACATCTCATCTGTCGCCAAACATGCATGTGTCAGCCGCTCTGTCTTACCTTGTCTACTAAAACCTGCATAATATATATAGTGTTAGACACTCTGTCATACCTTGGAGAAGGCCCCATTTTTTCTCCAATGTCCATAAACATGATGATTTTATGATGTTGATCGTTTAGATTTGTTTTCAGAACTAAAAGTTTCAAAAATAAAATAAAATAAAATTATACAAATGGAAAAAAAAAAAAAACACACCATTGACATAATAAATTGTTAAAAAAAGAAACTAGATTCCTTTCCTAATGCATGCATTGCTTACAAAATATTATTAACAATATTCTTAACTGCATTTCTGCAGAAAAAATGTTTTTCAAAATTAAAATTAATAAAATCCTACTTTAAAGATGGACTATGTCACACATAAAAAATAAAATAAAAAAATTAATTAAAAATTGAGTGTATTAGCCATTTTATCAATTGAAAAAGATATGATAGAAAAACTTGATTACAAAAGCTTGATTAGTAATTTTGCTTTGACAAAATAATAAAATTTTATTTTAGATGAAAAATAAAACATGAAAAATTTACAATTAATATTTAAATGTCAAAAAGCCTTAGTTCAAAATTTTGCTTTAGGCCCCAAAAGGGTCGGGCTGCCCCTGATGAAGGGAGGGAGGGAGGTATAGCTTTAGGACAACTACTTATCATGCTTATTACAAACTCACAGACTATTTTCCTAAATCTTATATTTATCATCGATTTCCAGTTACTGTCTTACTTGAGTCACGCATATTATTTGTTTATTTTATTTTTTGATTATTTATATTAATTGCGGTTACCCAAATTTCAACAATCCCATGCTGCCATTGTAATCTGGTTAGATGGACAGCTTCCTTAAAAAGAAAGGAAAGAGTTCCAAGATTATTGCCGTTGGAAAAATGGTTTGGAAACCATTAATAGGTAAATGAGAAATTGACTCCAAAGTACAACATTTGAGAATGATTTTAAGACAATTTATTTAATTTAAAATTTGATTTTGTTTAGATAAATTCGTTAATTTTTTGAGTCAAAATTAAACAAGATTATTCAATACAGAATTCGAATTCTTTTGTAAAAAACAATTATTTTTTTTAGTTGCACCTTTTTATGGAAAAGAAGTGGCTCTTTTGAAAAATCACCACGACCATTTGAAGAGCAACCAATTCACCTATATAAATAGGCCCCTTATTGCATTTATTTTGCATGGAATTCATATATAAATAGGCCCCCTATTGCATTCATTTTGCATGGAATTCATTTTGTGTTTCTTTCCTTATGCAGTCTGTCTTTTCTGTAAGAGAATTCTACACAATAAGGTTGGCCAGACTTGCTGCGGGTGTGCTGCTTCTGCAAGGTTTGCTTGTTGTATCCTGGGAGACGAACGTTTGATACAAACTCGTGAGCATTATAGCGGGGGATGAATTTGTCTTAAGGAAATTGTGTCCAACACAAACTTCGATCACATTTGGTTTTGTTTCCAGATTTTACAATCTGTTTGAAAATTTTCTACACCTGTATAGGTTGGTTTGGTTTTACCCAAACAATTTACATGAAGTTCAACTCATATTTTTTTTTATATATAATTTGGTAATATATTTGACGCAATGATTACGTGTTTCACACCGTACACATAAGAGATTATTCCTACATTTACTTGCCACAAAATCTAACAATTCAGTATAATAGGCCGGTAATAATTCTCAGTAAAGATATGCTCTAGCATGTACAAGGAAGTTCACGAAATATTAGACAATACCAAATTATGCTCTAACCTATGCATTCAACTACTTTCAATAATTTGAATACAACAATCAATACAATACAATATATCTACACACTCTACACAGTATATAATAAATAGGAGTAGTTGCTAAACTAACCTTGAGCAGGTTCAGCAACCAAAGAAGAGGGCATGACTGAAGTTCCAGCAGCGACAATTCCTGTGAATGCAAAGCCCCTCCTATTCAATTTGCATGTGCTTCCTTATGAGAGAGAGAGAGAGATTAATAGTAAGGGGTGTTTGGGAATAAGGATGGACTAAAATAGCTCAAAGACAAAATATGCTAGTTAATAAGATAAAATTTCATATCAAATCATAATCATTTCACTTTTGTCAAACAGTCATCAAATCAACAACCATAAAAAAATCAACCAAATTCCCAAACACAAACTATTTAGCCAGACTAATATAGTAAAAAAAGTTAAATAGCCAACTAAAATGGCAACTTGCAAATGTAAACAACACTCAGTTCAGAGATTGATAAGGAAACAATAGGGATTTAGAGAAGCATACATACTATGATGATGATGATGAGTTTTCACAGGAGCAATAAATCTGTTTCCGAGAGTAGTGAATAGCTCTGTTCTTGCTGTATGAATTACAGTGGTACACGAAGGCAACATCGGATCGCAAAAAACAGCTCTCTCTCTGAAACCCTAGATTAGGTTGGGGAAGTGAACAACAAAAAAATTAGCAGGACGTACGAGGATTGATGATGAACAGGAGGTGATTTTTGGCGGACTTGAAGCTTACGCTTTTGTGTGTGGCTAGTGTGCGCTTTACACTGCTGGCCCATTTCCAGCCAAGTTAGGCATTTTTGCTCCCCGGGAAATTGTTTTTCAAAATATTTTCTCTCAATTTTTTATGGGCCTGGCTTATCTCCGGTCCCAGATCGGACTGAAAGGTGCTGGATCTTATTTTGATAATCTGAATAATTTAATGTGCATAACTTATTAAGTACTATATATCTCTGTAAACAATCACGTTAATTGGATATTGATAGTTACGTGATCAAATTAGTCTTGTATAAAAAAAATGGACGGTGAAAAAATAAACGGTTGACGGAAAACTAATCCGATGAGATAGCTATCGATATCCGATCAATATTATTTTTTACCAACATATAATACTCGACGAGTTCTGCACATTGATCGATTCGGATTATCGAAACGAAATCGGTAATGAGCCCCACGAGTCCAATAGCAAGTCACTGCCATTTTTTATTTATGGTTAAATTATTATTATATATACATATATTTTTTCAAAATAAACTTACATAAAATTGTTAGGAAAAATTGCCATAAATCCAAGTTGAATGGTGTATTAGGCATTAGGATGAACCTTATTTTGTAAGGACGTGTTTTAAAAAGTTCTCAAAAAAAATTGTTGATGGACGATGGTCAATAGTGGCAGTCAACAATGGTAACTAAGGGACTAAGGCCTTGTGGTAAGAACACGGGGATTAAGGCCCCAGGTCATGAGTTCAAATTCCCCTTGAGCCAATCTCTTAGGCGTAGTATAGTTGGTTAGGAGATTGAACCTCAAGTTGTCTAACGGGCACTTGGTGTGGGTTCAATGCTCCCTCGCTGTGCAAGTCTTGACTTAAGCGGAGCTTGTCTTGGGAGGTCGGGGCAAGTTCCCAGGTTATAGTCTCCTCGCTCGGAACGGCTAACAGGACACCTTGGTGATCTCTACAAAGGGGCGCTGCCTTGGACCTGCGGGAGAGTAAGGAGGATTTTCCTGTAACAAAAAAACAAATGGTAACTAGTAACACTTAATTAGACAGATAGATGATATGTGTATACATTTAAAGATATAAGGGTTATTTTAGAAAGTGAGTTAAAAGTCACTTCTTAGCTTTAACCTACTTTCATCTCTCACAAAAAAGTCAAAAAAAGTCAAAAAACAACGTTTAACTATCTTTCCAAAACACTCCAAACTGCATTTGAACAAACAGACAGCTAGCTAAATTTTTGAACAAATAGTTTGGACAAATAATGCCATTTTGATCCAAAAAAGACTTAAACTTATTTTTAGCCTAACAATTTCAAAAAATGGACCTTGAGTGTACAAAACTTTAAGGGTTAATTTATTTTTATTCTCTAAACTATCAAATTTACTTATTTAATAAAGAAGTTTGTAATCAAACTCTTTCATTCACAATCAATCACAAGTACGTACATCACTTATATTTATATACAATATAATGACTCTAACAAACTAACAACCACTACAACTAACTCCTAACTAATTCTACAAAATATCTTTCAAAATATCTAAGCTGATAGCTGAGGTTGAAACTGTGGTAGGAGCTGTAGCTTGGAGCTACGACTGTTACCTAGGCTAGCTGAGCTAGCAGCTAAGCTAGCTGGTGGTGTATCTTCAACATTCCCCCGCAAGCTGATAGAGGGAGAAACCAACATGAACTTGTCTTTAAGATAGGAAAATCTGGAGACAGATAAAGGTTTAGTGAAGATATCTGCCAGTTGATCAATGGTAGGAATGTAGTACAATACAAGTTGTTTAGCAAACACTCGATCTCGAACAAAATGACAATCAACTTCTATATGCTTAGATTTGGAATGGAAGATAGGGTCAGAAGCCAGAGCAATAGCAGATACATTGTCACACCAGAGAAGAGGAACTGTAGGAGGGACAATGGAAAAATCCTGAAGCAACGTACCAAGCCAAGCAAGCTTTGCTGCTATATGAGCTAAAGATCTGTACTCTGCTTCAGTAGAGGATCGAGAGATAGTGGCTTGCTTTTTATAGGACCAAGAAATGAGATTGGATCCTAGAAATACAAAATACCCTAAGGTAGATTTTCTGTCAACATAGTCTCCAGCCCAATTGGAGTCAGAAGAAGCATAAAGATCAAATGAGTTGGGGTGATAGGTAAGACCATGAGAAATGGTGCCCTTAATGAATCTGAGCAACCTCTTTACACCAGCATAGTGACCAACAGTGGGATTATGCATATGTTGACACAATTGATTCATAGCAAATGAGATATCAGGTCTAGTAATTGTCAAATATTGTAAGGCTCCAACTATGCTTCTATAGATAGATGGATTGGCAAAGGGCTCATCTGAATGAGCAGGCAGACCAGGCTTGACAGAGATAGGAGATGAGCAAGCTTTGCAGTCTAGCATACCAGCTTTAAGAAGAATATCCTAAACATACTTCTTTTGAGATAGAACAGTGGTGGAACCAGAGGTATCAACTGAGATACCAAGAAAATCGAAAATAGAACCAAACTCCTTCATCGAAAAAACTTAATGCATCTGAGTAATAAGAGCTTGAATATGTGTATCATCATTACTAGTGATCAATATATCATCAACATAAACAAATAAGGCAAGAAAGACAGAACCAGCCTTTTTAATAAACAGAGAAGAGTCACATTTACTGTTCTTGAATCCTTGAGACAACAAAAAAGAGGAGAATGTGGAGTACCAAGCTCTTGGGGCTTGTTTAAGACCATACAAGTCCTTATGAAGTTTGCAAACAATCTAAGAATTAGGAGACTGATCTTCAAACTCTGGTGGTTGCAGTATGTAAACCTCCTCTTCTAAGATCCCATGAAGAAAGAAATTAGAAATATCTAATTGCTTGATAGGCCAACTGTGATGAAAAGCAAGACATAACAGTACACGAATTGTTGGTAATTTAGCAACTGGGCTAAAAGTTTCTTGAAAATCAATCACCTCCTGTTGGAGATAACCTTTAGCAACCAATCTGGCTTTATGCCTAGCCATTGTTCCATCTGAATTGCATTTGATTTTGAACACTTACTTGCAACCTATGGCAATCTTGCCTTGAGGAAGAGAAACCAAAGACCAGGTGTGTTGGTTTTGCAAAGCTTGGAACTCCTCAAGCATAGCTTGTTTCCAAATAAGGGTAAGTAAAGCTTCCTTATGAGTAGGAGGCTAAATATTAGTATATGAAGAAGATACAGGTAGCTTAACAGTAGACAAAGCAGCTTTAGATCTAGCAACCATAGGATGGCAGTTAGAAAGAGAAGGAACTGAAGGAATGACAGAAGAGAGAACAGGTATAGGTAATTGAATGGAAATAGATTCAATAGGAATAGAAGGCTGAGGAGGAGAAGTAATAAAAGGTAAAGAAGACTGTGACTGAGATGAAAAAGAGTGGGACTGAGATAAAGAAGGACTAAGAGTAGCAGCAGAAGAAGTAGGAGTGCTGAAAGAAGAAGAATGATGTTTAATAGTAGAGGAAGATGGAGAAGGAGAGTCTCGGAAAAAAGACCGAAGAGAAGGTAACTGAGAGGAAGAAGGAAAAGAGGAAGAAGACAAGTGAGCAAAAAGAAAAACTTGTTCATTGAACAACACATGTATAGAAAGGTAAATGGTGCCAATTTTGGGATCAAGGCACTTGTAACCTTTAGCAAAAGGATGATAGCCTAAGAGAACACACTCAACAGATTTAGGCTGCAATTTGGTAGAAATATAAGGTTTAAGCGGAGGGAAACACTGACAAACAAACACCTTAAGAATAGAAAAATCTGGAGTGCTATGAAAGAGAGTTTCAAAAGGAGTTTTGTATGCCAATTTGGAAGAAGGCAGTCTATTTATAAGATAAGTAGCACAAGCAATGGCATCAAACCAGTAATGAAGAGGAACAAGTGAGTGATAAAGTAAAGCAATTGCAATTTTAGTGAGGTGTCTGTGCTTTCTTTCAGCCACATCATTTTGAGATGGTGTATAGGGACATGAGTGTTGATGCACAATACCTTGAGAAACAGTAAATTGCTTCATTTTATTATTAAAAAACTCTGTGCCACCATCAGTTTTAAGAATCTGAAGAGATGTAGAAAATTGTTTTTCTACATAAGCTTTGAATTCAAGAAACTTATCATATACTTCACTCTTGTAAGCTAATGGATACAACCATGTGAATCTACTAAAATCATCTACAAAGAGAACATAGCATTTGTAACCAGAAATGGACGAAAAGGGGCCCCAAACATCACTGTGTATTAAAACAAAAGGTTTATTAACAGTGGAATTAGACAATGGAAAAGGTAATTTGTGACTCTTGGCAACACAACAATCAACACAGTCATGAACCTGAACATAAGCAGGATTTTAAGATGCAAATAAGGCCTAAGATGCTTGAATTTCAAACTACTAGGATGGCCTAACCTATTATGCCATATAATACTAACATCAAAAGAACTAGAATGCACTTGAGATGTGAAACTTGTGTGTGTGGCTGCAGAATGAGGAGTGAGAGCAGGTGAGTCAGCAGTGGAAAAGAAATGGTATAATCCATGCAGATCAGGGCCTTTGTGAAGAATTCTCTTCGTAACCTTGTCTTGAATCACAAAATGAGTATCATCAAAACTGATAATGCAATTGTTATCTTGAGCCAATTTGCGAACAGAGACTAGATTAGATAATAAAGAATCTGTATGAGGCACATTATTAAGCTTAAAAGATGATGAGGAGTGGGAAGAAGACGTTTACCAGTATGTTGTATAGGAATAGAGTTACCATCTCCTATAGTAATTTGATCTGATCCTTGATAGGCCTGATAACAACTGAGTTGGCTAAAATCATTGGTCATATGATCTGTAGCTGCAGAATCCAACAACCTTGGACTTGGAGCAGATGATGAGGCTGGAGACATAGAAGCATTGGAAGCAGTAACAAAAGCTCTTGATGGTGACTGAGAACTGAAGTTGCTTGTTTGAGAAGACTGTGGCTAAAATGAAGAGTATTGTGGATCCATACGATGCCAGCAGTCTAAGGCAGAATGACAAGAACC